GGGGGGGGGGATTAAGCGTAGTGGACTGAGGCCATGGGTGTACCAGTATGACGGCCGGCAGTCAAAAAACGAAAAAAATAAAATCAAATGTCATGAACCCCCGCGTAGTCTGCCCGACCGATCAGGCCCTAATACCATATACAAATCTTTTTTTCTTTCTTTTCACCACTACGCCCTCAATCATAAGGGTGTTCCCAATGCAATCTCCATCAACTCGCGGGCCGTAACCTGCACGTGGTTGCCATCTCCCAGTTCGGAGAAAACCGCACGGGCCTGAGAGAAATCCTGAGCCTTGGTGGAGGCTGTGTGGGTGATGACGCAGGGCATCTGGGCACCTAGGGCGGCTTGCAGGCCGATCAGGCTGTCCTCGATGACCACAGAACGGGAGGCGGGAATGGCCAGCCTGGAGCATGGAGGGGGAACGGTGGCATCGAAGGTCCAGGGAAGTGAGGCTCAAAATGGAGAGCAAAGACCTGAGAGCAAAGACCTGCCCGGGCAGGATCAGCAATCCCAATCCCTCCGTACCTTTCGCTCGCCAACCGGTAGATCTCTGGGTCAGGTTTCCGGTGTTTGACGTCGTCCCCCGCCAGGATGAGGTCGAAATGCTGAAGTACGTCGGGCTTGAGCAGGTTGTCCAGTACGAAGAGGCAGGAGGATTTGGTGGAGGCCGAGCAGATGGCCAGTTTTGGCCGGTCCTCGCCCAGTCTCCGTGCCTCCTCGATTAACCGCAAGACCCCTGGACGGACCTGAGCGGTCCCGCCACGGATCATGTCCTTATAGATATCTGTCTTGCGGTTCTGTAACGCGTTGAGCATGTCTTTCCTCCCCTTTTCCTCAGTGGGGGCCGCGCCCAAAGTCGACGTGGGCCACCCATTCTCGCCGAAGAAATACCTCATTTTGGGAATGCCACCCCCGACTTTGTTTTGGAGCTGATCGTAGTACTCCTCGTCCCAGCGGTAGTCGATCTCGAACTCGCGGAACACGGTGTTGTAGGCCTCTCGATGCAAGGACTCCGACTGTCCCATGCAGCGCAGGGAAAAAGGTCGGGGGAGGTGAGGTTGAATAAGAGAAGTTGCAGAAGACTGTGCACTGGAGATCTCTCTCCAACACGCACCTACCTCAAGAATGACACCATCGCAATCAAAGATCAATGCCCAGTCCCTGCTAGCTCTGCCGGCAGACAACCATGTCACCGTCCTGTGTGGCAGCTGTCCAGGCTGTGTCGAGGTTGCAGGCTTATAGACTGAGGAGAGAGGCGACACGAAAGCTTGCGACAAGGCCACAGCGGATACTACGATCAGCAGGAGGGAGAGAGTGCTGCCTCGAGACATTCGGGAGCGTCTGTAGCAATGAGGAGACTGGTCTCACGCGAAAGCTCCTAGACTGTAGCGAAGGGGTAACAAGAAGTAAAGAAGAAGTCACGAAGGCAGTCTTCCCCCCTCTGTCATGTGCGGGATTGCGGGAAATGCGTCGTAAGTGTTGTCACACAGAGGAGGGACGAAGTCCCATGCTGCGGTTTCAAAAGGTCCTACAGACTACCAACTTCGCTCGCGCATGTTGCAGACTCACGCAGACCAGTACAGCATATAAAATGCCAATCCAGCACGACATCATCATTCTCCCACGGCGCACATTGCATGCGTTCGCTACGCGTGCTTCAAAACAGCGTCCGACCTCCCCTGGGGATATAGGTATGACGTACTCCTTCCTCCCGCCCCCAGCGCGTCGCATCTCAGCGAGGTCTCCCTCTGTGTTCCTACACACGTCCTCTGAGTCCCCTCGTTCTTCATCCAATGACACAATACAGGGTCTCCATGGAGGACGCTGCGATGAATGCTGATACGGATGTGGGAAAAGGTTTGAAGCCTTTGGGGAGGCGCGGGAGGACGCATTCAAGGGCTGGAGCATGCACCTCCTTCCTTGCCTCCGTAGTTGCGTTCCTGCTCGCAGACTCCGGCACGGCTTTTATGCCATTGCGAGTCATTAAAAGCCACACAAGAGCCGTCACTACGCCAAGTATCTGCATGTCGATTGAGTCGTCGTCATCAAAAGGTGCGAGGGAAAAGTCATGTTTTTTTTAAAGCTGACTCATCATTGTCCATGCCATGTCTAAACATGTGCAGGCCGTTCCCTCCGTACGTCCGATCGATGTCTATTATGGAAGGCATGCACTATTATATGGTTCAAATTTACGGGCTTTTGCGGTTTTTCGTCAAATTTGGGGTCCAAATAACAAAAATAAACCAACCACGCCTGTCCCACCCAACAGTCAAACCGCAAGTTGTCGTTGCAGGCGGGGGATTTGGAGGTTTGTACAGCGCACTCCGCTTGTCCGAGCTCTCGCGCCCGTCGCGATATGCACCTCCCTCCATCGACATCACCCTTGTGGACAGGCACGACCGCTTTGTCTTCCTCCCCTTGCTGTACGAGTTGGCCATGGGGGACGCGAACGAGGAGGAGGTAGCCCCGCGGTTTGAAAGTCTGCTGGCGTCCACAGGCATCCGCTTTGTGCAGGGGGAAGTAGAGGCGATCGATCTAGCTGGGAAGTGCGTTCAGGTACAGTCGCAAGGGGAGGCCACGGAGGTTTCTGAAAGCGCGGTCGAGGCGCCGTCGTCGGGGTCCTCTAAGTCGCTTGCCTACGACAAACTCGTGCTCGCCTTGGGCTCCGAGCCAATGCTTCCCCCGGCTGCCTCCCTTCCGCTTTCAGAGGGGTCCCTCTCTCCCTCCCCCTCCTCGGTCATGCCCTTCTACACCTTGCGGGACGCCCATGCGCTCCGGCGTCAATTGATGCGCATCGACGCCCTTTCTTCCCCCACACTCTTCCGCACCGTGGTCGTGGGCGGGGGCTACTCGGGCGTGGAGCTGGCGGCGAATCTGGCCACACGTTTGGGCCGGGACAAGGGCCGCGTCACCCTGGTGGAGCGTGGGTACCAGATTCTGGGGAACTCCCCCATGCCTGTGCGCGCCTCGGCGGGGAAGAGGCTGGAGGAGGAAGGGGTGGAAGTGATGCTGGGTGTGGACGTGGTGGAGGTGGACGGCGCGCGGGTGGTGGTGAGGGACAGGGCTGCGGAGACGCAGGGTAAGGAAGGGGCGGAAGGGGCGGGAGGGGGGGGGAGGGAG